GCACTCCCACTCCCCCAAAATGAATATCAAAGCTTTTGAAAAAAATCAATTTTGTTTTTTATTTTTCACAAATTTTGAAACTTAATTTTTTGCTTTTATTATTTCATATTCATTTTTTTGGGACCTATTATGCACCACCTGACCAAATCTCATGATTTCAAATTTGTGATTTGGAGCTCTGGAATCCAAAATAGGCAGCCACTTTTCACTGTCTACACAGCCGGGCGAGGAGAGCGTCAACGACTCAACAGGACCCCGTAGAGCGTATTCCTGGAGGCTCCGGTGACTGAGCAAAGGAGGTGCGCTGTGAGGGCGCAGTTTTGCAGGATCGCTCCGATGATTGACCCTGCGGCATCAGGGGATCGCTGTGTTGGCACTGCAAGGGCGTCCAAGGGTGTCCTTCCAGGTCGCAGTGGTGAGTAACTGGGACACTTCTCACCGGTGACGCTGCCTCAAGCAGGCACAGCTTAGTTGGCCAGGCAAAAAAAGAGGTGCTTGCACAAGGCTCGAACTTGCACCTGTACCTCCGAAGCACACCTCACTAACGAACCAGAGCTTGTGCGAAGAGGATCCACCAATGAACCACCAGTCATTATAAGTAATGCTCAGATTACATTCAAGATTCAATCCAGTCATTTGCGCTAGTAATTTTGTTGCAATTTTTTTTTCTTTCTGGAGAAAGTTGTTCAGCCAGGCATTTTGAGGAAACACTACCCTCTACACAAATTTTTGGGAAGAAAAATATTGTGATTGAAGTAGAGCTTCCCCGAGACGCAGTCAACGCGGGAATGACTTTCCAAGCGTCAACTTGCCGCCCTTGGGACCCAAGAGTCACCGGGTCGCACCAATTAGCGTTACGCAAGCGCTTCAGTCCTACATTGTCATTGCGGTGTTCTTTATGGTCAGAAGAGCACTCCAAAGGTAAACCATCCTTTGAGCGATATCCAGAAGTTCAAACTTGCCCCGCCGTGTAGGCACTGTACATCTCTTAGCAACCAAGAGGGATTCTCTGCCCGCTGAGGGCTGTACACTCTCAGCGGCCAAGAGGAATCCCGCTCAGTCACTGAGAGCTGTATGCTCTCAGCAGCTGGGAGAGATTCCTCAAAGATTTCTCCCAGCCACTGAGAGTGTACAGCTTTCAGCGGGCCAAGAATCCCACTTGTTTGCTGAGAGTTGTACACTCTCAGAGCAACCGCATCGGTCGCTGGATTAAGGCCGGATTAGCGTAACTACTCCGACCTAGTCCGAGCCCTCAACCGCATCGGGTCCGAGTTAATCGGACTAAACTAATCCTGGAGTAGGATTTGAGCTAAGCAGGAGTAACTTTACTCCTCGCTAATCCTGGGATTAAGAGCCAATCGGCACACTCAACATGCGCGCGACCCCGGCTACTCCCAGGTTTACACCACACTGATGTGGTTGCCGACCCGGAGTAGCACTAATCCGGGATTAAGCTACTCCGCTAATCCTGAAGTTACACCCGCACCGATGCGGTTGCTCTCAGTGTTTGGGGGGAATCTCTCCCGGCTGCTGAGAGTGTACAGCAGACAACTCTCAGCAGGCCAATAGGGATTCCTCTTGGTGTGGTAAGACCAATCAAAACCAGTTACACTCTAGAAGCACCTTTCTGGATCCATTTCACATCAATTACATATCATAACAACTCTCAAATGAACATCCTCAATATTTAACACACTCATGGCCACCTCCAATCATCCCATAGACACTTTCATCAGAAGCACAAAGGCCAAAAACCCATCAGTATCACCCTACATGGATCACCAGCCACACTTGGTAATAAAATAAATACAAATCAGGTATAAAGTGGGAGAAAGTCCACCATCAAGTAGAGCCAGATTATTAGGAAAGACCCCTGTTCTTCATCATCCTTGTTTCTCTTTATTACATACCATGGCACTTTCTACAGTAGCTACTATGTCATGTTTCCATCCCTGTTGTTTCAGCCTTGTTTTCCTTATGCTACATATGTCATCCCCAAGCCTGTCTCCCAAGCCATGTTGTTGCCTTGTTACATGTAACCTGTGATGATGCCTTACCCCTTGTTTCTTATCCCCTCCCAGAAGACTTATATGTAGTGCTCTCTTGGCCCTTGCCATTTGTCCCCCATCAGAGCTACCATTATTACTCCCTGGTCATTGATTTAGCATTACTTACTTGGAAATATATTTAGCATTACAGACTTGAGACATTTCACACAGACTTATTATCTTCATACCTCACCCTTTACATATCTTACATCTTCATTTAGCCCCACCTTTCTTTAAGAGTCCCTACTCTTATTTCTTGTTCTTCTTACTCTCCCAGTAACTAGAGAGGCAGCCGTTCAAGCATTCATCCCTCTCTAAGCTCTATTCCCCCACATAGGTCAAGGAGTGTACAACTCTCAGCGGGCTGAAAGGGATTTCTCCCGGCTTCTGAGAGTGTACGACTCTCAGCAGGCCAAGAGAAATACCTACTGGCTTCTGAGGGCTTTCTGACGCCAGCTGACTCCCAACTCCCCTGGGGTTTTTAGAGTATCCACTCCCAAAAACCCCTGGGGGGGGGGAATCAAATTTTTCTTGTTTTTATTATATTTCTTTTTGAGGTCCAACTTCTAAGCAAGTTGGACCTTTTGGACCCAAAAAAATGGGGGAAAAAACATAGGGGGGTCAAAGTTGAGGGGACCGTCCGCAGCTGGCCCCTTGATGTCCCAAATATTTGGGAGTTGGAAATCCAATATGTGGGAGTCGGTTGACCAAGACCCTTTATTTATTTATTTCAAAATTTTCATTTATTTTCATTCCTCCAGCACACCACACTCCAATTTTAAATTTTGATTTTTTGACTTGGAGCAAGATTGAAACTTCTGAAATAAGTGCAATAACTGTAATATTTTTTGCAAATTTTTAAAATCAAATTTTTGAATTTTTGTTTTCAGAATCATTCTTGGAACCAACGGTGGGCCGCTACACTAACCGTAGCAGTTAGTGTAGCGTAACACAGCGGAATTCCCGTTAGCGTTAAGCGTAGCGTACTCGTAGCAGAATTCTGCCACAACACCGCTAACGCTACGTATGTGGGCCTCAAAAAAGGGCCCACTACGCTGCGCTACAGCGGTTTTTAGCCGCTTTTACCGCTAAAAGCGCTGTAGCTAGGGTTGTTGGCGCCATGTTTGAAAAAGTGCGCGCCCATGGGCGCCTACCAAGCCTTCCAAAGGGGTGCGCCTTTGGCTGGCGCAGGGGCGGCGCGCCCAGGCGCCTTTTTTTTCTAATTGGTAACATTATAACTGAAAATAGTAAGAAAACAAGCGGGAAAAAAAATTAATTTATTTGTGCAGGCTAAAAAAAGGAAGAATGATAAAAATTATTAAGAAAATAAAAGTTCAGTGGGGTCCCAGTTGGTACCAGCAACCAGTTTGTTTTGGGTGTCTGCAATTTTGACCATCCAGAATCCAGAATTTGGATGCTACATACATATTTGGAGTGATGATCTATCTGACACTGTCATCGCAGACATGCTGCTCTCTCAGCCATCATGTGCAGGGATACCACCGAACCCTCCAAGCCCTCCCTGCAAAGATTAGGGTAGAGGTGCGCCGCCACCCCACCTTTTTGGAAAAAAGTGCGCGCCCCCGGGGCGCGCACATTTGGGCGCGCACCAGGGGGTGCGCCGACAACCCTAGCTGTAGCGCAGCGTAGCGTAGCGAAAATGCACTACAAAATTTTGGCGCAAAAAAAGTGCCGCTACGCTACGCTTTTTGAGCCAAAAGCGTAGCGTAACGGCCCACCACTGTTGGAACCTATTTTATACCACTTGCCTAAGTCTCATGATTTCAAGTTAGTGGGTTGGGTTTGTGCAATCCAAACAAGCTGGCTATACACATTTGGTAGGTGACTGTACACATTTGAAGTTTTTGGTTTTTAGGTTGTTGATAAAAGTAAGGAGGAACCCTTTAAATTTGAAACCATAAGTCACTGGGTTTGACATGCTTGGATTTAAATTTATTTCGAAATTACCATACTTGAGAGCTTCCCTCCACTCACTGGGTTCCAAAACTATTCATGTTATGTAATCAGGTTGTGTTGTTTAAAAAACATGAAATTCAATCTGCAGGCAGAGGCACAGCAACTGAAGATTGAGTGTCAAATCTTACTATCAGGACCACACAACCAGGTTACGTAGCATGAATTGTTTTCGCACTGAGTGACTCTAGAATTGAGCCTTGTTGCCTTGTTTCATCCTTCATATTGAAAGCCTGCTCAAATTCAGTTAAAATTAGTCTAGATCAACTGATAACACTCTCACCAGAACCTTTTCTGGGCAGATGAGCCTTGATAAGATGTGTTGTTTGATATTTAATTTTTTGAAAAAATAATCAGATTCTAAATATCCAGGCAAAGAAATTTGGTTTGAAACATGCTAATTTTCTGTTGAGTTTTAGTTTTACTAAATTTCAGCTGGTTTTGAGTCAATTTTGATTCATACATCTATCAGAAATATCTGAAGTTGAAACCCTCTCCCTGTCAAGTAGAAAAATGAGTGTCCTTATTTGCTAGCTTGATACAGCATTTTTTGGGAATCCTGTTAACCCATGCCATGTCAAATAGTCGACACAAAAAACCTTGGCACTCAATTTTTGATTCAAGAATATCAAAAATCTCCATACTTAAGAGCTCTCCTTTTACCACCAGAAGATTTTCTGTCCAACATCAAAGCTGGTTACCCATTCTCACACATTTTTATTCCTTCTCAATTTCTGAGGGCTCAGAAAACCCAGGTAACTGTCCTTTCAATGCCTTCTGTTTGCTATTTGATTAATTTATCACACTCTCTGGGGCTTGCTAGTATAGTGAGCAGTTGTCATTGCTGATGATCCAGGCCCTCTCATTCACTTTCATAGATAGGAGCTCATTGGAAACCAAAAACAAGCCCCTGTGGTATTCTTTCTGGTAATATCTGATATTCTTGAATCCAAGATCTGTTCAGGCACTCAAAACATCATGAGGTCAATCTTCATATACTTAGCCATCAGCAAATTAATTTCCAGAACCTGGGGACTCTCGCAAATTATTCCATATGATAATGTAAATTATTATGTCTTTGGCAAAGGTTTTGCTCAAGATGATCATGCCAAATTGCCTCAAGTTACAAGTCTAGAGAAGGTTACCCATGGGAAGTTTCATGACACATTGCATTTCAAGAATCTTTCTGGTGACCGGATTTGGATGATGGATGCATTCTATAAAGAACATCAGTTGGCACCCTTTAGTTATGTTGATGTTCCTTGGAATAAAGTGGCCCGTCATATAGTAGCACATACAGACCCTACCGTGATACCTAACCAGGATATGTACAAAGCTATTTTGGAAAAGGCAAAGAAAACAACTGGCGAGTCTTCAAAGGTGAGAATAGCATCTGATTCATTAGCTCATTTTTTATGAAAGTTTCATTCATTGACTTGAATTCTCCTTACACGTTTTTGTTTGACTCTCCTTGCAGTCAAGCTAATCAAGTAAATCCAACAAGCTGCACTTCTACAATTCAATTTTAGGTCTACTTATGCACTGTTCCCTATCATTTTCTTATGCTTGTCTATGAATCTGAAGGGTGTTATCGAATTATATTAATCCTACATGATTGTATGATTGTGTCAAAACATGTGACCTTTGTTCTGGATTCATGATCCCCATTGGTAGATAGTATATTCTGCATTCTCATGTCATAGTTTCTCAGCTACAGTCCTCCAACTACTTCACTCACTTGAAACATAACTTCATATCCCGCACTGGATGTGCAGTAAAATAAACCTGGATATGTAGTATTTTTATTTATTTTTTTGTTCACCTCTTCACACCATTTTTTTTTTTTAAAAAAAACACTGAATATCCAGTTTTTTTTTACTCCATATCCAGTACTGGATATGAGGTAGTGTTGAAAGTGACTTCCTGTCTTATCCACCTCTCAGCTACCTTCCTGAATTTTATGACCAGTACTCCTGATCATCCTTGGTTCTCCACTCAGTGAACTGGTCCCCCAACTCAACAGTACTTCATCAAGATAGAGCTTTTTCATGCATCCAAATTATGTAATATTTTGATAATTATCATCTCATTTGAAGTCTCCAAATCCAGAAATTAAGCTGAATCACCCTCTCTGCAAAGAAAAAAAAAATGGGGGCCAGAAATGGCTAGCTGAGCCTTAATGATAAGCTCTTTTGTTTGGAATACTGTCAACACCAAAGTCATGGCCATTACTTCTGATTTCAAATCAGTCAAGAATCACCATACTTGAGAGCTCTCCTCCCCCATTTCCCTCCATTAAGTCTTAATTCATTTATCATGGCCTTGTTTCATGATTCATGTTTGAATCTTTCTGAAATTTAGTTAAAATTGGTCTAGGTCAGCTGATAAAAGTCTCAACAGAAAAGGTACTGTTCAGATTAACCTTGATAAGATACAAGTTTTTGTACATAATTTGTTCAATAAAGTGTTAAGATGCTACAGATCCAGCCAACTAGCTTTGGTGTGAAACATCACTAATGTGCTGGTGAGGTTGAGTTTTAATATAGTTTGGCTCTTTTTGAATGAATCATGATACATATCTCTCTCATGAGAAGCACCTGAAATTCTGTCCCTGTCAAGAGGGTAAAATATAGGGCCTTGACTAGTCAGCAGCTGAAACTAGATAAGTTATCTCTGTTGGGAAGCCATTCAAACCATGTTAAATAGTCAACAAAACAAATCCTGTAACTTAATTTTTGATTCAAGCCAATCAAAAATCACTATAAGTAAGAGCTTTCTCTCTTGCCCATCAGAATTTGTTTTGTCCAACAGCAAAGCTAGCTGCCCTGTTTCACTCAATATCAGTTTATTAGAAACACCAGGTAAATTTCCTTGCAATTAATACTTCTGCATTGTTTTTTTGTTACTTTATAATACTCTCTGGGGCTGTTTTGTTCAGTCAACAAGCTTCTATTATACTTAATAGTTATCATTGCTGATCATCTTGGCCCTCTCCTACACTTTCATATATAGAAGCTCATTGGAAACCGCTACCAGGACCTAGCCACCACAGTGTTTTTTCCTGGCCAAGCACCCAGTTCTCACTTCCATATTAACCTCAGGAGATATAATCAGGCACTCAACCCATCATGAAGTCAATTTTTTTAGCCTTAGCCATCAGCACCTTAATTGCCAGAACTTGGTGCCTCTCAAGGCTTGTTAAACATGAAGGAGTAGAATATTATGTATTTGGCAGAAACTTTCATGAAGATGATAGGGCCAATTTATCTGCACTGATCATGCAAGTGAATGTTACAAAGGGGTCTGATCATGATGTGTTGACTTTCAAGAATCTTTCTGGTGAACACATTTGGATTATGGATCCATTCTTTAAAGATCATGATTTGCTACCCGGTAGTACGGTTTGTGTCCCTTGGAATAAAAGGGCCCGTAATATAGTAGCACATACAGAGCCTACAGTGAAGCTCACCCAGGGTCTGTACCTTACCATTTTGGAAAAGGCAAGGGAGCAACTTGCAGAGTCTTCAAAGGTGAGAGTAGAATTTGATTCATTAGCTTGTTTTTTTATGAATGATTCACTCATTGACTTGAATTATCCTGACACATTTTTATTTTACTCTCCTTGCAGTCAAGCTAATCCAATAAATCCAACAAGCTGCACTTCTCCAATTCAATTTTAGGTCTACTTATGCACTGTTCCCTATCATTTTCTTATGCTTGTCTATGAATCTGAAGGTTGTTATTGAATTATAGTAATCCTACATGATTGTATGATTGTGTCAAAACATGTGATCTTTGTTCTGGATTCAAGATCCCCATTGGTAGATAGTATATTCTACATTCTCGTGCCATAGTTTCTCAGCTACAGTCCTCCAACTACTTCACCTTCTGTCTCATCCCCCTCACAGCTACCTTCCTGAATTTCATGACCAGTCATCCTGATCATTATTGGTTCCCCATTGTCAATTTTCTTGCTTAACTAGTCCCCCAACCCAAATGTGCTGCATCAAGATAGAGCTTTGTCATGCATTCAAATTATGTGATGTTATGAAATTGATCACCCCATCCCAAATCTCCACAAGTTTTCCATATCCAAGTACCACAACTGGCTTGAGATACCTTGCAGTGGGTGCTAGCGCCATGGCAAAGGTAAGGGCAATCAGTGGTACTCTGACAATGCTCCACTTACACCGCAATGGCCTCTTCATTCTGCTGAGGGGATTCAGCCACAGTACATTGAGTATAAGGCTGGAATTATGGTAGCACCTTCCCTGCCACTCAGTGCCCTCTGCTCTTTCAAAGATTTGGGAAACACAGCTGGCTAGATCAGTGAATTATTGGTCAGAAAAAGGTTCTTGTTTGTTGAAAGATTCAGATGCCACCTCTGGTCTAAATAAACAATCAATTATCAACTAGCCCCAAAAACCAGAAAAGAGACAAAACCCAAAATCAGGCCAGTTTTATAATTCATTTTTCATTCAAGGGGGCCTTTTTGTATAGGATCAAAAGCAATAATGTACATTACGAGAAAGACTATTATGGATGTCAAAATAGGAGCTGGATTATCAGGAGGACACGGGCATATGATATTCAGTGTCAGATATGTATGTATGTGTAGGTGTCTTTAATATCTAGGAATGAATGGAGAAATGGATGGGCGAAGCATACAGAAATATGAAGCAATAACGATCTTGTTTTGGAATAAAAAAAAAACACGGGTATGTGATGGAATGGAGTACAAGTTAATTCACAAGTGAAGAAGAATGAACATTACGACATGGAAGAAGAAGTATTTGTTTTTTGTTCTTCAAGAGAGAGAGAGAGAGGGGTTCAAGTTCAGACGATCTCGCATTTCGAGTTCTTCTCATTAGCGGTGCCGACCCGGGATTTATCGGCGGTGGAGGCTTGTTTAGGGAGAGCAGAGCCGACGGAGGCGGAGGGAGCTTCGTCGGGGTTGAGCTCTTTCTCGACCTCGATCAACGCGAGCAGGAAGCTGTTCATCACGTTCTCGCCCGACCTGGCCGATGCCTCTGCGAAGCCGCACTTCCATTCAGCCGCCAACGATTGGCCCTCTTCCTTCGAAATTTGTCTGCATCCGATCACCACAAACCAACCAGCTCTGAGTATTTTTTTTTTTTTGGACGAGTGAGAAAACGAAGAGGAAGACTAACCTTTGCGATTCCAGATCGGTCTTGTTGGCAATTAAGACCATCGGTACATGCTCAGCACCAATGAAGCCTAGGATCTTGTCTCTGATGATCGCAACCATGTCGAACGACGTCCTGGAATTGATCGAATAGACTAATGCCCAACCATCGAGTCCGATTGCCTGTCTTGAATCCAAGATCGTGAACTCATCCTACAAGCCGCATCCATCGATTTTTAGGTGGCCATGAGAAGAAATGAGTAGGTGTCAATGAGTGATGATTGAGTTTGGGAATGATTTTCGAGGAGCCTGAGTATGATGCATATATATATAACTCAACATGACCAGCGGTATCGAGGATTTCGAGGTTGAATAACCTGCCGTTGAGTTCGACGGTTTTGGAGAAGGTATGTTCGATTGTCGGATAATAAGATTCGACGAAGTGTTCGTCGACGAACTGGACGGCCAAGCTGCTCTTGCCGACGGATCTTGAGCCGAGGAGGGCGATCTTGCGTTGTCGAGGCGGGATTGGCTTTCCGGATGGGGTGGTCGAGGTGGAAGATTGGTTGGTGTTGGTGGGCTGGTGGAGTGTCATTCTCAGACTCTCAACAGTTCTTCTTCTTCTTCTTCTTCTTTGATCTGGATGTGTATAATGTTGTGCTGCCGTCTACCGCCTGTTATCTGGAGGAAGATTATCAAATAAATTTGTAGCTGGCTGCTGAACTCAACTGTTGCAGGGAGTCGAGTGAAAACGCTGTGAAGGGTGGTGGAACACGCATACATGTCCCGTGACACGCATACATGGCTCACAGCCGTAAAATCTGTTGGACTGTAGCTGCCCGTCTGACTGAGCTCATCAACACTCGTCCTAACCTATGTATCTATGTATCATGGCCCGTCCTCACTCGTGCCAGTCTGAGGCACAAAACTTTATCATGATGTACGTAAATCCACAATCTCTTCCCCAGATTATCATGGTCATGTGATCAACATCAGATAAGTTATTCAGGCTTGATCAGCTTTTATCTAAAAAAGGTGACATCACTATGGATTGGTATAACCTCATATGTAACACAAAAATTGCATCAATGTGAAAAGAACACAAAAAAGCCCCAGAATTTTGATAGGAAATAATTGACAGGAAATCAAGATGTAAATTAATGTTGCTATATTTGATCAAAATCAGATTTGGCAACCAAAATTTATGGAAATTCAACCAAGCCTATCAAGAAATGCAAGCAGATGATGATGACAGAACCTTATATCAGCTTCCTTCTCTGATGAATTATCATTCCCCACCTTAATCAACAAGGCAAAAAGAAAAAAAGCAATCAAGAACTTTATGGCATGGTTTTGTTTGAGACATTTCCATACATAAATACCATTGACAAGAACAGATGATTTCAAAACAAAGCTATTTATAAGATAACAAAATTCGAACTTGGCCAAGTTTGTCTATATTGAAGTACTGCATCATTATAAGGCCAAGTCTATGGTGGACCGAAAAAAAGGTTTTTGACCTTGAAGGGTATAGTGGCAATATGGTAGTGCACAGTTTGGACGTACCATCAATTCTAGGGTGGTTCTTTTTCTCAAAGTGATATTCTACTGAGAGAAAGAAAGAAATGAGAAATGAACTAATTGACCTGTAGGGTGGAGCCTGAAATGCGTACTGAGTTCAAAGTGACGAAAAGGGACCCTTCTTCGGGGGCCTACACAGGCCGCGCAATCAGTGCGCGACGTCGAGCGCGCGCGATCTCGACCAAAGCCGTCAGTGAAAGTGTGTGGGCATACGTCAGAGCCCTGATCGACGATCGAAAAAGCCCAACAACACACACACTCACACCAATCACCTCACCAAATATACACAAAAGAAAAAACTGAGGATAGATACGATGGTTGCTGCTACTTCTGAAGAGATGGTCGCACTCAGTACTACCCAGGTAAGCCCTTCTTCTTGGATCTTCAAATCTCTCCGTCTCGAATAAATATAGAGAGATGGAGAAACTGATCAGCGGGATGATTAACAATCTGATGAGTGCAGGTGATTATCCATCCGTTGGTATTACTATCGGTGACCGACCATGCGGCGCGAGTAGCGAAGGGAGGCTCGAAGCGGGTCGTGGGCGTGTTACTAGGACAAGACTTAGGGAGCACGTTGAACGTAGCGAATTCGTTTGCGGTGCCGTTTGACGAGGAGGAAGCCGGCCCGTTGTCGTCGTCGTCGACCGCTAGTCAGCCGCCGTCCTGGTTCCTCGACCACAACTTTGTCGAGGCAATGGGCGAGATGTTCAAGAAGGTCTCGGCCAAGGAAAAACTCATCGGCTGGTACCATACCGGCCCCAAACTTCGGGCGACCGACCTCGAGATTAATGAGGTCTTCAAACGCTACTGTCCCCGCCCCGTCATGGTCATCGTCGACGTTCGCGCTGATCGTGGGGTCGTCAAGGGCTCTGTGACTGATGCCTATTTTGCCATCGAGGAAATCAAAGACGTTTGTCTTTTTTTCTCTCTCTCTCTCTCGATCTTCAACCCAAACAAAATTACTGACAAATGTGATGGAAACCAAATATCATATAGGATGGCACGGCGACGCAAAACACATTCATGCATGTACCATCCTCGATCGAAGCGGAAGAATCAGAGGAGATCGGGGTGGAGCATTTACTACGAGACATCAAGGATCTGTCGACGGGGACCTTATCGACGCGGGTGACAGGCCGGTTGAATTCGCTGCGGGCCTTGCAAGCCAGGCTGGGGGAGATCAGCGAGTATCTGGAGGGTGTGCTGGGCGGGAAACTGCCACTGAACCACCAGATCATCTACAACCTCCAGGACATCTTCAACCTGCTCCCCAACGTCGACCTCAGTCCTTCGGCCTCCTCGGCCGCTAACGACCGCGCCAAACCACTCACCGTCGTCACTAATGACCAGCTTCTTGTCGTCTATCTCTCTAGCCTCATCCGCGCAGTCATCGCCCTCCATGGCCTCGTCAACAACAAACTCGAAAACGTTCGTCCCTCAACACCACCCTTCCCTCTGTGTTTTCTGTTTACTCACTCGTTTTCTGCGGTTTACTTCGTTAGCAAAACTCGGCTAATCCGATCGAACAACTCGACCATTCCCAACCGAATCCCAACTCGACAACCACCAATCCGACTAATGGACCCGCTCCGCCCAACAATCCCGACGCGAATCCGGGCCCGGATAAGAAGCATCCCTCCTCGGGCAACCGATAATCTTCTCCTAAACCAACCCCTTGTAATTCAGTGCCTTTTTTTTTTTTTGCAATGACTTTCAGACACACTCTCAATTCAAGACATCATCCATCCCTCCCTCAATGTGTGCACACATTGCAAGTCTTGGGGAGGTTTTTAGTGGGTCTCAACGGGGGGGTCTTGTGATCTCTGGCCTGATCTACAAGCGTCGCGGGCAAAGTCGGATGGATGGATGGATGAGCCAAAAGAGTGGGCGGACGTCGGAGAGCAAAGGGCGGTGTCTCCAGATAAGGATGATGATCAAGCATTCTTGGCGGGCGCCTTCATCGATGAACACGCTGCTCTCCATTCTCTCTCCCACACGCTCTTGAAAAACAAGGCCCCCCGGGAAGCTCCATCCTATCATCAAGAAACCCCGATCCCCACCACAAAACACACCTCATGACACATCCCCGCCCAGAGACTCTGTTCTTGGTCAATCCGTGTGCGTCTGCTATCTCAGACCCTATATTGAGCCCGGATCCCCCCCTTTTTTGTCCCTGCCCACCGTCTCCTACCCTCGTTGTGCTTCGACCTCCGCTGCTTTAACTCCACCGGGCTTTTTCTTCTTTTCTTCTTGGCCGCTTTGGCTTTTCTTTTTTGAGAGAGAAAGGGACTTCACCTAGGCTTTGATGATCTTCTTGCCTTCCTTCTTTTTTCATGGGAGGACGTAAAGTTGCTTGAATATATCATGTCAACTGATATCCTCCCTCTCCCATCCACCCGGAACATGTACACACACACGAGAGAGAGAGAGAGAAAGCCGGCCACCCGCCCGCCCCAAACAAACCCAGACCAAAAAAGAAAAAAAACTCATTTTTTTGTATATGACTTAAAGCGAGCACGGAGAGAGAGAGAGAGAGAAAGGGCCACATGATGATGACTCACGCTTGCACCGGTGAATGGAAAGGAAGGTGATGAGCAGCCGGGTCGAGAGTGTCGACAAGAAAAGCGGGGGGCCAGTTGAGCGGAACATGGAAGACAGCCACATGACTATAGAGACTCCGGCCACATGAACATCCATCAATGAGAGCAACGAACGGCCTGCTCCCCCCGCAGCTTGTCCCGTCTCTCTCTATCTCTCACTGCAGAGGAACTTCTGGAAAGCGGGGTGTTGTGGACTCTCGAGTGCTGCGCCCGTTGCCCCAGTATGTATCCGGCCCGGATTCTCTCGCTGCTTCAGACCGGCTTTCGCTCCCATCGCTCATCCACTTCTTCTTTCCTTTCCTTTCCTTTCCACACACAAAACAGAGTTTTCTTTTCTTTTCTTATTCAAGATCGAATTAACCAAAAAAAAAAGAACTAACAGTTGTTGATTTCACAGGTCATCAATGAAAGAAAAACAATATAAATAGGGGTAAGGGAAGGGGGAGGAGGGAATGTTTACATGAAAAAAGAAGAAGGAACAAAGGGAAAGGAAAAACTGAGATAAATAGGAGGAAGAAGGGATGAATAGATAGATAGATAATTTCAAATAGATAAAGAATCAAAAAAAGAAGACAAAGTAAGATCCGTTGGGGGTTGGAGGATGGAAATGATGAGCAGATATAACAGGTACGAGAATCCCCTCCAAAAAAGCATATCAGAAAAGAAAAAAAACAATGGTATTCAAAGAGAAAGAGAGGGGGAAGGGGGGGGGGGGCTAGAGGATGAGACAGCCGGAGCAACAGCCGGAGGACTGGAACTGTTCGCCTTCTTCCTGGAACCCGTTGGGCCCGTTTCCGGGGCCATTAGGGCCAGGCCTTGAGATCGTCTGTTCCTATTTTTTTTTGAGTGTCCCAACCACATCAGCCAAAACAAAACGACAGAAAAAAGAAGAGGGAGGGAACATACTTTGTTGTAGCGACGGATCTCCTTGACTAACGAGCTGAAGGCCTCGTCGACGTTGATCCGTTGCTTGGCCGAGGTCTCGATGAACCGGCAGCCGAAGTGTCGCGCTAGTTCGCGGCCCTCATGCGCTCCCACCTGACGCTCATACTCCAAATCACACTTGTTTGCAACCACAATCACTGGGAAATAATCTTTATCTTTGACCCGTAAAATCTGTTGTGTTTGTTTTGTGTGTTAAAAAGAATGTTAAGTGAAGAGATATATATCTAAGAAAGGGCAAGGGACTTAACTTGTTGATGGAACGTCGAGATCTCTTCAAACGAGTTGCGCGAGGTGATCGAATAGACCAACAGGAACCCTTCGCCAGTCCGCATATACTGTTCGCGCATGGCCGAGTATTCTTCCTGGCCGGCGGTATCGAGGACGTCGAGGAGGGCGACTTCCTCGTCGATGACGCATTGTTTGCGATACGAATCTAGATCCTTCGATTGTCAGTTATTCGTTCTCAATCAAGATGATGTTGATGATGGTTGTTGTTAGTGTGGGGAAGAAGAAGAAGAAGATGTTGTGTACCTTCGATGGTCGGGTCATATTCGTCGACGAAATGCGACTGGATGAATTGGATCGTCAGTGCCGATTTGCCGACGCCTCCTCCACCGACGACGACGAGTTTATACTCCCGAAGGAATTGTGCCTGTGAGGAGTGTATAATAGATGAGTAGGAGATATAGTGTATGTATGAGGTGGGAATCAACGGACCTTGGAAGCCATGGAGATCAAGCAGTTCTTGTTCTTGTTGTTGTTGTTGCTAGTGGTGGTTGGAGATACGAGAGGGGGAGATGAGAGTGGTGGTGGAGTGTGGTGTTGATGATAAGTTATATATATTTGGAGTAAGTATATAATTGGAGAGTTATGTGGTTATTGTGGAGGTGAATTAATGGGAGATGGGTTTTGTTTTGGTTTTTGGTTTTGGTTTGATGTGGGGTGATGATGAAGAGGCGAAGGGAGGGAGGAGGGTGAGGCTAGCAAGAGCTAGTAGGAGTCGGAGTGTATATGGTAATTGGATGAGGTGTGAAGAGGAAAGAAAGGAAAAGAAAGGGTCGAGAGAGAGAGAGGGAGAGGCAGAGGGAGAAGCAGAAGGTCAAGAACTAGATTCAGAAAAAAACAAGGCAGTGGGCGGGAACTTGGAAAGCGACTGGGCGATATTATGGACTTACACGGGGGAGCTCCCTCGATTAGCACATACTAGGTACACTTCTGTACAGATCTTTCTTTTCGTTCTTGGCTAACCTGATCGATGACAAATTCGAAAACACTTTACATTAAATAATATCTTTCTTCAGCTTCTCTCGCTCGGACTCTTTCCTAATTTGAAACTTATACATACCCCGGATGACCCTGTGAGTCTTTCTAATTTGTCTCAATGGCCAGAAGGAAGAAAGAAAGAAAGAAAAAACATGAATCGATCAAACACAACTGCTGTCATCACATACATACAATATGATGAGGTGCACGACCACTGCAGACCATCAAGCAAAATTCCCAAGCCAACCCGCTCAAGAAAAACAAAGAACGAATCAGGCGAGGAGAAAGGGGAGGTGATTTTATGGGACACGAATGAAAACCGGGCAGAGTGGTTGATCAAGCTCGTCGATCTGATTCGCAGCCTACTGAAAAAAACCCTCCCATCCTCAACAAACAAAGCTTCCTTGATCAAGAAAAAAAAGAAAGCAAGAAAGAATCTCGGTCTGCTGGCTGTAGGATAAAGACCGTTTCCTTATTATAAAGCACACATGAGAACACACAACTCACCGGCGGCTGGTCTATGTTTCCCGGAACCGTCGTCGGCCGTTCAAGGGTTTTTTTTTTCCTTATCTTTCTATAAAGGGTGTTACATAGATTGGAAAGAACAAGACGATCTTACCGGACATATGGTCTTGCAAGCGCGTCTGGGCACAAACCCAAGTCCCGCTTGGCCGATAGCCACCGGGGGTTTGATTTGTGCCCAGAGGGCTTGATCATCCGGAATCTGGGGGGGGCGCGACTTGGCACATACCCAAGTCCCGCTGGGCCGATTTCAAGCCCTGGGCCGATTGGTAGCAGGTGCCCCAGCTCGGCACTGGGCCCTGACTCAGCAGCTGGCCTTCTTGGGGGCCGACATGTTGGTGGGCGTGGCACCCTCGCTTGATTTCGGTCAAGCGAGGCTTTGTCCCGACCCCCGCCAACTTTAGCATGTGCCAAGCGGGGGTTGGGATGGTGCCACGCGCGCTTTGGGATCGGCCAATCGGGCTTTGGGATTGGCCCAGCGCGCTTGGCCTTTTTTTGACCAAACTTTGGTGTGTGCCCAGACGGGCTTGCAAGACCATATTGCATACCACCCAGTCATTATAATCAACTCACACAAGGTATTTAATATATGAGATGAGAAGATGGCCAAAGAGGGGATCTGGGTGCTCAGTCCTCACCCAGCCAAGCATCCAATTTACGGCTGTGCATGTAGGAGTGCAGTCCAACAACTTAATCATACGCGTCTCTGGACAACACAAAAGATCAGGCGCCGGGGGTCTTGGCGCACGACGAAATGGGCCCATAATCCTCTTTCCTTGCAGGACTTGGTTTTGCTCTTGCTTGCCATCTCTAGACAATCTCATCGCGCGCGCCTGGGATCCCAAATTCCCAGCCCAACAAATTCAGAAGACGCTTCTTCCATGACAATGCTTGCAGTCAAACTGTTCATGATCCCATGATCACTCCATGGGGAGGTTGGATGCGCTGAACGGTTGTGGCCCAGTGTCAAGCTCAGGCCAAGAAACTCGGTGAAAAAACAAAATCATTTTCAAAATTTCTATCATCAAAGAAAATCGAAGAAATTCTACTTCATCTTATTCATTTAGAATATTCCTTCATTATCTCAAACGAGCAGATCAAAAGATGTGTTATAAAATAGGAACCATAACACTCTCTACTCTTTAGTTACTGTGAACAAGATATGATTAGAATATAACGAAACCCAAGATTACATCTATAAAAGACTCGATATTTTCCACTTTTGTATCTCTTTTTTCCTCAAGAGACTTATTTTGTTATTTTTCTCTATCATTTCAAAAACATAGTATCGTCAGTACGTTACAAAATTTACAAATTTAAAAGTTCAAAAGTTTTCCGCGTCCCCCAAGTCACACTTCAAAGTCGCCGTGTTCTTTACATTATAAGTCTCTCACAATCTATAAACTCATAAAAGTTCAACATTCTGTCATATACTTTACCAAAGTCACACGAGGAGGATTCTGACATTTCAGTTTCCTCCACTTCAAACTCTTCACATACCCAGTGGTATTCCCCTAGTTCTTCAGTCACACATCAATCACACCATTCTCCTTCCTCCGTCACACGTCAATCTCATCACTCCCCATCTCTTACATCTCCTCGACAAATACCTCCTCATCTCTCCTCTCTGAACCTCTCAAGAACTCGAATTCCTTCTCCTTTGTCTCACACGTCTGTATTTCTGCAGCAACCATTGCATAGACCAGCCAACCAAACAGTCTCTCAAGCACTCTGATTTCACGGCAGAATCCGCAAAGCAAACCAACTCCTAGCTTCATCGTACAAGTTGTCAGAAATGAACCAAAATCAGGAATCCTCAACTGCCGGTCATCAAGAAAGCAATCATCAAAAGCAACCAAATACAAACACGAAGGCCGAAGATACCAAAGAGCGTTTGAATTGGATGGACTCCCGTATGGAGAGAATGGCGACCAGTTTAGAAACACTTATCGGTATCGTCAAGGCAACAGAGAAACCCGACCCTCCACAGCCTTCTCTCAACTTTGATCCAGTTTCCACGGCTCCTCCTTCAGCTGTGATTGACCCCAATCACTTTGCATTCTTTCGGTCTCAGAATGCATCCCAAACCCCGCCGGTAAACCCATCTCTTCCGAATCAGAGCGACACGGTTCCTGCGGTGCCAGGAATTCAGCAAGGTTTTCCGCAGGCCCCCCTACCTTTCCCGTCTCATGAACACCCGCGAGTGGAAGGGCAGGGGTTGAATCCGGTTTATTTGGAACCACAAAAGCTCCCGGAGTTGTGGTTCTTGGGGGAAACAAAGCCACGGCTCCTTTCTTCGGGCGATTCGGGACTTCTTATATCCTCAACACTCTTTCTTCTCCTCTCAATCCAGAATGATAGTCTGGATATCTCGACATTTCGGTTATCACCCGTCGGCATCAAAAAACACCCCCGGAGAACCTTGTACAGCGGAAAATTGGTACAATTCTCTGATCTTATTGAACGCTCAAGCTCAAGGCAAAAACAATCCATACGCGGATTTGGATCGGGTGCCATTTTGACATCCCATGCTGCTCTTGGTCACGGAGTTTGAAAAGGGTTTAATTGACGCCTTCGGGGACAAGTTTCAGCTTGATTCAGCAAAAAGAGCGCTGGTGGCATGCAAGCAGGGTTGACAATCGGTTGAGGAATACAACACCCAATACTCCATGTTATGTTATCAGGTGGCAAATTCGGAAGACACCAGGATCAACAAATATGTTGAAGGTCTCAACTACGATATCATCAACAGAGCTATGTCTGCTGAATGGCTGGAGGAACCGACTTTGGCGGGGAAGATGAGGCGTGCTTTGGATGCTTCAAGGCAATTGGCAGCCCTTTCTAGAATCCCAAACAGGCAGTCATCAAATCATGCTCCGACATCTCATCAAGCTCCACAGCCTCCAGGATTTTCTCGACCATCTCCGGTTGCACCACCGCCAGTCTATCAACATCTGAATTCAACTTTGAAATCACCGGATGCTATGGACATTGACGCAATTTCGTCCAGGGGTCCTCTAACGCCAGAACAATGCTTCAAACGGTTTGTCTGGCGCAGAGAGTGTGCTTCAGGTGTCTCCAGAAGACGGTCCCAGCCGAGCACACCAACTCGCTGAATTGCCCAAATGGCAGGGTGACGCCGGAGGCTCGAAAAAAGTTTGTGGTGCAATATCGAGGGGCAGTTCCAGTTCAAGTCTCGGAGGTCTCATTTGGTCCAAGGCCCCCGGGAGAGAGCATCACTCGTCTACGCTCCCTATTCTCAGTTCCTTCACCTTACCAAGCAGTTCCGACCAATCAGCAACGGTCACCTTTGCCTTTGAACCCTCCGACCCAGTTGGAGATTCCTCAAGACTCTTCTGACCTCGATTTCTCGAAATTCGGCTTCAAGGAAGACCAGGAAGAGGTCGAAGAAGTGGGGGTATCAACGATTCAGGTTTGGTTGGACTGCTCTAAGGCGGGGCGGATGTTGATTCCGGTATAGAGATCGTTCGTTTGTACTTGGGTACCTGTTGGTACCTAGGTACCTGTTGATTTTTTTCAGAAAATAGGTACCAAGTACCGCATCAGGCACCTCCCGGCAGGTACCGGCGGTACTTTTGGCAGGTACGCGGGTACCTCCCCTCTCTTCCTCACTTAGTTTGACTGCAAGGTTCATTACAATCCGGTTGGCATCTTGTTTGAGTTTTTT